CAGCCTCCCAGAGTTCTAGGATTATAGACATGAGCCACCTCACCTGGCCCTTTTTTTTTTATTTTTTTTTTTATGAAAGGGGAGTTGTGAGGAGGGGTACTCAGTTTCCTTATTTTGTTGTTGTTGTTGAGACAGAGTCTCACTCTATCACCCTGGGTAGAGTATAGTGGCATCATCATAGCTCATTGCAACCTCCAAGTCCTGGGCTCAAGTGATCCTTCTGCCTCTAAGATAAACAATTGACACACCATTAGCCAGATTAACTTAGAAAAAAAGGGGGAAGACCCAAATAAATAAAAACAGAGATGAAAAAGGGGGCATTACAACTGATACTACAGAAATCCAAAGGATCATTATAGACTACTATAAGCAACTATATGCCAATAAATTAAAAAACCTAGAAGAAATGGATAAATTCCTAGACACAAACAACCTACCATGATTGAACCAGGAAGAAATCCAAAACCTGAACAAACCAATAATAAGTAATGATATAGAAGCAGTAATAAAAATCTCCTATCAAAGAAAAGCCCAGAACCCAATGGTTTCAGTGCTAACTCCTACCAAGCATTCAAAGAAGATCTAACACCAATCCTACTTAAACTATTCCAAAAAATCAAGGAAGAGGGAATACTCTCAAACTCATTCCATGAAGCCAGTATCACCCTGATACCAAAACCAGACAAAGACACAACAAAAAAAGAAAACTATAAGCCAATATCTCTGGTGAACGTATGTGTAAAAATTCTCAAAAAAAATACAAGCAAACTAAATTCAACAACACATTAAAAAGATTATATTCATCATGATCAAATGGAATTCATCCCAAGGATGCAAGGATGGTTCAACATATGCAAATCAAGCAGAAAAAAGGTCAAAAACCATACGGTCATTTCAACTGATGCTGAAAAAGTATACAATAAAATTCAACTACCCTTCATGATAAAAAAAAACTCTCAAAAAACTGGATATAGAAGCAACTTACCAACACAATAAAAGCTATATATGACAGACCCACAGCAAGTATCATACTGAATAGGAAAAACTGAAAGCTTTTCCTCTAAGATCTGGAAGAGGATAAGGATGCCCACTTTCACCACTGTTATTCAACATAGTACTGAAAGTTCTAGCTAGAGCAGACAAGAGAAAGAAATAAAGGGCATCCAAATTGGAAAGAAATAAGTCAAATTATCCTTGTTTGCAGACAATATGATCTTCTATCTTGAAAAACCTAAATACTCCACAAAAAAAATATTAGAACTGATAATCAAATTTAGTAAAGTTGCAGGATACAAAATAAACATACAAAAATCAGTAGCATTTCTATATGCCAAACAGTAAGCAATCTGAAAAAGAAACCAAGAAAGTAATCCCATTTGTAATAGCTACAAATAAAATAAAATACCTAAGAATAAACTACAGAGCTGTAGTAAACAAAACAGCATGGTACACTGGCATATAAACAGACATATAGACAAATGGGACAGAGAAGAAAACCCAGAAATAAATCCAAACATCTATAGTGAACTTATATTTGACAAAGATGCCAAGAACTTATAGTAGTGGGGAAAGGACAGTCTCTTCAACAAATGGTGCTAGGAAAACTGGATATCCATATGCAGAAGAATGAAACTAGATCCTTATCTCTTGCCATATATAAAAATCAAATCAAAATGGATTAAAGACTTAAACCTAAGACCTAAAATTATAAAACCACTAAAAGCAAACTTTGGGTAAATGCTTTAGGACATTGGTCTTGGCAAGGACTTGTTGAGTAATACTCCCAAAGCACAGGCAACCAAAACAAAATTAGACAAATGGGATCCCATCAAGCTAAAAAGCTATGACACAGCAAAGGAAACAATCAACAAAGTGAAGAGACAACCCACAGAATGGGAGAAAATATTTGCAAACTACCCATCTGACAGAGGATTAATAACTAGAATATATAAGGAGCTCCAACATCTCAATAGGAAAAATCAAATAATCCAATTTAAAAATGGGCAAAGGATCTGAATAGACATTCCTCAAAAGATGACATACAAATGGCCAACATGTATATGAAAAAATACTCAACATCATTAGTTATCAGAGAAATGAAAAAATAACTATAATCAGATATCATCTCAACTCAGTTGAAATGGCTTTTATCAAAAAGACAAGCAACAACAAATGCTGGTGAGGATGTAAAGAAAGGGAAACACTCATACACCGTTGGGGGGAATGTAAATTAGTTCAACCACTCTGAAGAACAGTATGGAGGTTCCTCAAAAAACTAAAAACAGCACCACCATATGACCCAGCAATCCCACTGCTGGGTATATATCCAAAGGAGGGAAATCCAGTATATGGAAAAGATATCTACACTCCCATGTTTATTGCAGCACTATTCACAATAGCCAAGATTTGGAATCAACCTAAGTGTCCATCAACAGAAGAATGGATAAAGAAACTGTGGTATATAGGGACATGAAAAAAATGTGGTATATGTACACAATGAAATACTATATAGCCACAAAGAAGAGTGAAACCCTGTCATTTGCACCAACATGAATGGAACTGTAGAACGTTATGTTAAGTGAAATAAGCCAAGCACAGTAAGACAAATATTGCATGTTCTCACTCATATGTGGGAGCTAAATATTAAAAACAATTCATCTCATGGAGAGAGAGAGTAGAATGATGGTTACCAGATGCTGGGAAGGCTAGCAGGGAGAGGGGGATAAAGTGGGGATCATTAATGTGTGTAAAAATATAGTTGTTAGATAGAATGAACTATATTCGATACCCCAACAAAAGTGACTATAATCAACAATAAGTTAGGTTATACTTTAAAATAACTGAAAGATTTGAATTAGAATGTTCCTAACACAAAGAAATGATAAATGTCTGAGGTGATGGATACCCCAATTACCCTGATTTGATTAATTCACATTTTATGTCTGTATCAAAACTTCACATGTACCCTATGAAGATATACAACTATTATGTACCTATATAATTAAAAATAGAAATAATTTTTTAAATAAAATATTGGGCTGGGCACAATGGCTCATGCCTATAATCTTTGCATTTTGGGAAGCTGAGGCAGGAGGATTGCTTGAAGTCAGGAGTTTGAGACCAGCCTGAGCAATATAGTGAGACCCCATCTCTACAAAAAATAGAAAAATTAGCCGGACATGGTGGTGTGCACCTATAGTCCCAGCCACTCAGGAGGCTGAAGCAGGAGGACCACTTGAGCCAAGGACTTTGAGGTTGCAGTGAGCTATGATGACACCACTACACTCTAGCCCTGGTGACAGAATGAGACTCTGTCTCAAAAAATAAAATAAAATAAAATATTGTAAAAAAAATACATTTTTTCCAAAATATTTTTTTACATAGTAGTAGAACTGGAAAAATAAAACAGAAATATCGGTCACCCTAGGGCCTCTTAATGACTCAACCCACTGAAACAAGAGTGATACAGGGGAGGGATAGCTGGCCCTGCACAACCCATTCAGAATCAGAACAGGCCTCCTGCTTCAGGGCCTCTCCAGGGACCTCCCTCATTCTCCAAGGTCTAGAGCTGAAATCAAGTCCCTCTTACCATTGTTAATTGGGAGGCAGAGTCAAGAAGTCTTCCCCTTGGACAGAAAGACTATGAGGATATTTCCTTGCTCAGAAGTTTCACCCCTGCATCCTCCAAGGGAAGGACAAAGACTAGGGAAGCCCACAGAGCCCTAATCATATCTGTGGCTCTTGTTCCAGTGTTGGAAATGGTGTCATACAGGTATCCTCCACTGAAAGCATCTGTTGTTGGCCTCAAGAACTCAGGCAAATACAAATCTACTTCTCATTCAAATCCATCTTCTAAAACTGTCCACTCTGACAACCCACGAGGGTATAAGTCACGAATAGAGATCAGATCCTCACTTATAACCTTCCTGAGTTAGCCATGAATAGGGGAGGGGGTAGCCAGTTTACCTTCCTCTGGTCTAGACTAAACCCTGTAACTGCCCATTTTACCAGGTGTTCTTTTTTTCTCCTCCCTATTTTTGGCCTTTAATGTCCAAGAAGATGCACAGAAGATGGTCCAGATTTGACTTGGCTTTATTCAAATCCACTGGTAGCAATTCAAAGAAAATAGCCCAGTCTTTGTGGACTCCCATGTTAAGTCCTGAGATTACAGTGAAAACAGCAGACATCATAGATTCACAGAAACCCTGGAATGGGAAGGCTTTGGAATGACTTAAATACACAGCTCTCACCTCCATTTGAGAGCTTCCCCTTCTGCCTTCCATAAAACCAGCACACTTATGTGCCACTTCTGCTTAGGTTGACATGGAGGGGAGAAGGGTTTCTATTCAGTACCAGAGACTCCCAAGGAAGGCTGTTTCCCCATCTTTACAATTTCTAAGTTGGAATGGACTTTAGAAACCATCTAGTTTTCCCAAATTGGCTTTTTTTGTTTTGTTTCAGTTTTGGTTTTTGAGAAACTTAAGTGACTTGCTCACAACCTTACAGTGGCAGAGAAAGGACTCGCACCATCCTCAGGTGTCACAATATCTCCATCAGTCACTGGGACACTCATCACAGTCTGTCAGCCAGACGGTCAGCCAAAATGTTTATTGCTGATTTACCGCACCAGTCGGCCCTCCTGTGGTTGCGCTCACTTCCTTTGGAACTGGAAAATAGCACTTCTCAGTGCCTGGAATCCCCAACTCCCATCCTTTCCTTCTCCAGTCTGAATAATCCCTGTGCTCTGCTCTTTCCTTTCTAGGTCTGGTTCTCCAAACTCTTTCTCCCCACCTTCTCCGCCGTCACTGAGGTTACTGCCCTGAGCTGGGAAGGGCGGCTGCGGTCTGACACGGCAAGGCTGCCTCTGCTACAAAATCTGTCCTGGGTCTGCCCTGAAGCTTTACTCGCAGTGCCTCATCCCCAGGCAGGCTCTGAGAGTGCTGACCCGTCTGCGCATCCTCTTTGGTTCTTGTCCCTCTGAATGGAAACTTGAATGCTCCATGGAAGTCAGCAACAAAACCACAGTCACTGCGTTTGTTCTCCTAGGACTATCCAACAACCCCCAGACCCAGGCTCTGCTCTTTGTGTTGTTCCTGGTGGTTTACCTCTTGACCCTTCTGGGGAACCTGCTGATGCTGCTGGTGATTAGTACCGATTCCCACCTCCACACCCCCATGTACTTCTTCCTGAGACACCTCTCCTTCCTGGACGCCTTCTATTCCTCAGTCATTGTGCCTAAATTGCTAGAAAACCTTCTTTATAAATGGAAGACTATATCCCTCCTTGAGTGTTTCAGCCAGATCTCCCTGGTCATATTTTCTGGGGCCACAGAAGCCTGCCTCCTCTCTGTCATGGCCTATGACAGGTTTCAGGCTGTGTGCCACCCACTGTTGTATGTGGTGGCTATGAACAGAAGGATATGTGTTGCCCTGGTGGGGGCCTCCTGGGCCATAGGAATGGGGACTGGCCTAATTAACATCCTTCTCCTGGCTCAGCAGCACTTCTGTGGCCCCAACCTTGTTCGCAGTTTTGCCTGCGAGCTTCCTCCAGTGCTCTTGCTGGCCTGTTCTGATCCCCATGCTAGCATCGCCTCCATCCTGACCACCATGGCAGTCCTGGGCCTGGGCACCCTTGTCCTGTTGCTGGGCTCCTACAGCCGCATCATCATGACTGTCTTGAGGATCAACTCTGCCACGGGTCGGAGCAAAATCTTCTCCACCTGCTCTTCTCATTTCCTGGTAGTCGCCATCTTTTATGGTTCAGGACTTTTCAGGTAAGTCATATTATACCACCTGAAAGTTTGTTTATGTAAATGTTGGGTATTCCTTACTCTACAGTGACCTTGGTCTGTAGAACAGAGCATTGCAAAGTAGCAGGAAATTCAAAAAGCCTAGGCTCTAATGCCAGCTCTGCTGTGGACTTCCTGTGTGAATTGTAAAGAATCCATTTTCTTTCTAAGGCTTCAATTGTCTATTCTGAAAAATGAGCTTAGACAAAGATTTTCCTGCTTTATTAACCTATGATTTGGAAGTTCTCAAAAAAAATCAGATTTGGTAGATTTTTATTTAGGTGCTAGACACAAAAATAAAACTTATCCTTGAAATAGATGCCATCTTTCTTTCCTTCTGGTAGATGATGTCTCCGAAGTTTGTTTATGTTACAGCTATTTATTAGGCACCTACTATGCACCAGCTGCTTTATATGGTCAGGTTTAATTTTAGTATGCATCACACCACAAGAGAGATATTATTAACCCAATTTCAGGTAAAGATCCTGAGTTTGGGGAGTAACCAGATAATTTCTTGACAGTCCCAGCACAAGCTGGTAATGGAGCCATAAGTTGAACCAAGATTCATGCTCTTTCCTACCATGCGTCTCTCAAACATGAACACTTCTAGCTGAGGAGTCCTCCCTCACCAGGAGACAAAATAACTTGTGTCTGTGCTTTCTACTAGTGAACCAAAGGAATGTGGATTTGCACAAATTGCTCAATGCTTTTCTCACCTTTTTGTGACCTGGAGAGAAGTCAGGGGGTGGAAGTGGATAATAAGGAACAGTCCAGGAGAGCTCACCTGAGCTGTGGACAAACCTCTTCATCTCCCTCTGTCTCAGTTTCCTCATACACCATAAGGGGCATAACCACCTACTTCACAGAAATGTTAGGAAGGATAAATTCAATGATGAAAAATAGTCTGGGTGCGGTGGCTCACACCTGTAATCCCAGCACTTTGGGAGGCCAAGTTGGGAGGATTGCTTGACTCCAGGAGTTTGAGACTGAGCAACATAGTGAGACCCCATCTCTACAAAATATAAGAGAAATTAGATGGGCATGGTGGCATGTGCCTATAGTCCCAGCTACTAGGGAAGCTGAGGCAGGAGGATTGCTCGAGCCTAGGAGTCCAAGCTTACATTGAGCTATAATTGTGCCACTGTCCTTGAGTCTGGGCAACAGAGGGACACCCTGCCTCTAAGAAAAAGAAACGGCTATCTTTTACAACCAAACACACCAGAACCCACAAGGCACATTCTTGGGATAGTCTATACTTATTCCAAGGGTCATGGTGCCATTGCAAAAAATAATAATAATAACAGTACTTATTTGAAAAATACTCCCAGTGGCACTTAGCAAAATGTACCCAAAATTTTAATCTTGTTTTAGAATTTTCTTGTGCTTAATATGTTTTCATCTCCCACTTTACCAGTTTGGTCTTGTTTTCCAAACCAAAGAAAAATGCAACTAAAAGGACAAATGTTTGTTCCCCTAAGCATTATAAAAATAATATGCTATGATTCTGAGGGTAATTCCAAGAGCCATAAATGTCGGAAGAATTGACAGCATTTTGGACTAAGCATATAATTTTATAAGAACAGTCATTACAAGATGAGAACATAGTGTCTTTGTACTGTTGTGTATATAGGGAAAAAAGAGAAAAACTCCTCAGATTATCATCATAACTATTAAGGAACAATGCTTTGAAGAGTATGAAGTTCTATGGAAATGCATGAAATTATTATTATTAGTTCTAACCTGCAGCCCTTGATATGCCACAGAACTTTCTGTTTCCTCAGGGCAGCTCCTATAACCTTCTATGTAAGATCACTCATGTTTGGAGGCATGTGAAGGCAGAAATGACAGACTTTTCACAGATCAGACAGTCATTTCTGGATGCTGCCATCAGAGATAGTCAACTCAGCTCTGAGGACCCCCTTTGCAGAGGCTTTGCAGGGATGGGATGGACTGTTGCTGCCAACAGTATTGTCGTCATTGTCATTATCTCAGTTTGCTTCTTTGTGCAATTCCTTTCAAGGTACATGACTCCAACATCCGGCTCAGCCCTGGAGCAAGTGCTATCTTTGCAGTACAGTGTGGTGAGCCCAGTGCTAAACCCCCTCATCTACAGTCTAAAGAATCAGGAGGTAAAGACAGCTCTGAAGAGGATGCTGGCCAGGAAGTCCAGGTTTACCTTCTAATCCAGGCTCTCCTGCCTCGCCAGGAGGAAAAGTTATGGGGAGAAGAAGAGGCAGGAAAAGCTGTCAGCACTCAGCTAGAGATCTGCATTCATCGCTTTCCACACAGTGGCCTTAACTTCTCTTCCTCCAGGGCCCTGCTCCCTTCCAAGAGACAGGGGGAAACTTCCACAGAGCAGGTGATACCCCTCCTCAGGGGGCCAAGTCACTCCACAAGAAAATCTCCAGGGCTTCACTGGCCATTTCTACAGCTGTTACCTTTCCCTCTTGTTTCTTGACTTTTTACCCTTCTTCTTTCTGCCTCTCCTTCTCTCTTTTACTTTTGTCTATGCACAAAAGGTAAATCAACCTATCAGACCACTAGCAAATATCTAGCTGCATTCTGGGACAGGCCCATCTTAGCACTGCGAGACCCAACTCCCGCTTTATTCCCATCCTGAAAGACCCTTGGAAAGATGTACATCTTCATAATACCTTGGAAAGAAATAAAATAAAATAAATGTGTCTACTGTTTTCATCCTTAACAAGTAGCACCTGAAGTAGAGCCTAGCAAATACAAATCCTCAATAGCCATTTGTTGGCAAATTAAGAAATAGGTGAAAGAATGAATGTGGATCCATCTGAAGAGTCTTTTCTCTTGTGTGATCCTAGGAAATGGGAGGAGGTGAGTATTCCCCTTTAAAGTATAAGGTCTCAGGAGCAAAACCTCTGTCTAGTAGCTTCCGTATCCCAGGTGTCTAGTAAATCCTGTCATCTAATAGTTAGATAAATGAAAAAAAAAAATGAGAGAAAGCGAAGGGGGAGAAGGGGAAGGAACATATGAAAACAATATTGAATTTTATCTAATAAAATTTCTGCCTTCATAACAAGATAGGTGTCAGAGGAAAGTAGCAGGGAAGAGAAATCAGCATAGGAAAAAAGAAAGAGACTCCATGTTGTCAGGCTCCATCCTGAGTCTTTCTCACACAGAGCTCGGTGAATAGTCTGCACACTGACAGCCCCCGCCCAGAGCCTCCCCACCTCCCACCTTAGCCTGGACCACTTCTGGTCTGCCCTGGCTTGGGACTTCGTTCCAGGCCCAGAGGAGAGAAAAGGAGTTGGAGAAACCAGAACAGATGCTCAGCTGCCATCCCACCTCCTATTCAGCTCCTAAGAAAGTTTTTGGGAAGAGAACAACAGTTTCTTGTCCTGCTTCTACCCAAAGGTTAAGATCTGCATCTATCAAGATCACTACCATGCCAAAAAAAAAAAAAAAATGGTAACTATGTGAGGTGATGGATATGGTAATTAGCTTGATTGTAGTGATCGTTTCAATGTATACATGTATCAAAACATCAAGTTGTATACCTTAAATATATATCATTTTTATTTGTAAAAAAAGAAAGAGGAGGGGGGAGGGAGGGTAAGGGCATCATACGTAACCTAATCATCTATACGCCCATAACATGCTGAAATAAAAAAAAAAAAGAAAGAAAGAAAGAGGATGGGAAGGAGAAGATGAAGACTACTGGTCACTCTGTATGTCATAAAGATGATCTAGCCATATTTGGCTGGATAAAGAAGGCTACTTACTTATTTATTTATTTTCTCAAGAGACTTCATAATTCAGTGGACACCATATTAAACCCTGAAATAAAAGAAACGTATAAGCCAGTAGGGAAAAAAGTAAGTACGGACTAGGAACAAGAGAGAGTTTGCCTAAGAAGTCCAAAGAACACAGCATTTGCTTATTTGTTTTAGGCCATGGGTCATTTTACAACTGACCACACTAAAATTGAACTGAGTAAAAACATATAAAAACTGCTCCATAGTACTGGTTCATGGTAGGGATCTACAAACATTTGTATCATAAGCTACTGTGATAATAAATGAATGAATATGCTTTTTAAAAAAAGACTGCTTGTATGCCGGCTCCCTGGCTTCTATCTGTTCTTTATCTTCTGACCCTCAGGCTTGGATCTTTTCTACAAATAAATCTCTTATTGTCAGTTTCCTTCAGCAAAGGTTCCTGAAGACCATGGCCTCATATATGGGTGTACATGTCCTCACAGGTGAACTTTCCCGATCTCTGTATGATGAAGGCCAGAGATCTGAGCCTTGCAACACAGCCCTAACTTTAATTGTGTTTCTGCTCTAGCCACTTGAGGGAGCTGGTCCCCATATTTTCTACTGCATGTGGCTTTCAGAGGGTGTAGCTGAGGCAGGTTAATAGGTAAGAAGTAGATGTGTGAGTTGGGTGGGAAGAATGGCCACCTGACTCCGCCCTCTTTCACACACTCATACACAGGGTTTACTTCTGAAAACCTCAAGACTTGGGGGAAAGTTTTTCGTCTCATAATTAGGACAGGAATAATATGCAATATCCCTGGGAGATGCACCATGTTGTGTTCAAATTCACACTAAAGTGATGTGACTAATACCAAGTTATTTCCTGAGAGTTTGTTTTCATTAGATATGAGGAAGAGGGATGGCCTCCCCACCCTTGTCTAGCCCTACAGGTTCCCTAAACATGGGGGCTTCATTTGGGAGCCGATCGTTTCTGAGACAAGGGAAGCATGGTCTGACCGCCTAAAGCCCCAGAGGGTATTGGGGTGAGAGGAGTGGAATTAGCAGTACTGGACATCTTAGGAAGGAAAGGAAGCCAGAAAGAAGATGAAAATTTCATCCCCCCACTAATTCAGAAGTGTGACGAATTAAATTGTATCTTGGAAAGCTGGACTGTCAAAGCAGGAAGGGATTTCAGAAGATCATCCAGACCAAAATCTTCACTTTAAAATGAGGAGATTAAGGCACAGAGAATGGAGATGAACTGCCCAGGTTGAGACCATCAATGAGTAGCAGAAATAGACTTTGGGACTCAAATCTCCTGATTCTTCTTCTTTCGCAAATCTCATCATCATTAGAATAAATAAAGTTCTGCAAGCATTCTCCTCAAAAACAAGCAAAGAGCAGGAAGAAATAATAGAGCGGAGGGCTCCAACCAAAGGATTCCAAGTTCTCAGATTCTTACTAATCACTGAGCTGACTGTAAGAGTCCCTGTTCTACCTCTGGCTCCCAGAGAAGAAGAGAGGGTTCCTTTCACAGCTCTTCATGAAGGATAAAGAAATCCCTCAAAGCCTTCAAGGCACCCATTTCAGATTCTTGGGTCCCCATCCATGCTGTCCTTTTTCCACCCCACATCTCTACCCCCCAAAATCCCACCCATACTTCAACACCAGCTTAAATGTCTCCTTTCTTGATCATTTTTCTAACATCCCCTCCCAATATAAATTAGTCTTCCTTTTGTGAATGCCCAGGGCACATTTCTAACCTCTCTTATGATGCTTATATACTATTCCTTGTATTATAATTATTTATTAATGTTTATCTCATCTCTCCTATTAATCTTTGAGGAAAGAGATCCCTTTAGCCAATCTTGGATCCCCTTATAGTTCTTTGAATGCACAAAGTGAGCAATAAAAATGTGTTGAATTGGTACAGAAAGTAACCTACATCTTTTTATTGCAAGGTCAGCCTGCTTCTTCTTCAGTAGAGATACAAGGTGGATATGACCTATAGCTTCAGTGTCCACCCAATCACCCTACTTCCTCCCCTTCCCTCCAGGAAGAAAATAAAGCCAGTGACTTCAAATCAGGCCCTTTATTCAGGACAGAGGTGGAATCTATTGCTGTAGTGAAAGTGCCATCGGGGGCACTAATCAAAGGTCTGAAGTCCAGTGCACCAGTCATGCATCCCTGGAGAGTAGTTCTCAAGAGTCCAGTGGTGTCACTACAGGGCCCAGGGCTCAGAGACAGCTTCGGGAGGGTAGAAAGAAGCAAACTGAGGTTGCATTAGGGAAGGGAATTCCAGGAGCATAGAGAGGGCAGGAGTGGTGAGGATAGCAGAGGCTCACAACTTCTCGCAGTTCCATTGTTCCAGCTTATCAGTGCAGAGTGCTTTATGGGCCAACCTGACAATGGAGAAGGGGACAAGGTGAGTTCGTTGACTGGATCTTAGCTTGAATTTCCATCTAGCTTCATCCCCAGGAAGGCTGAGGTGGAAGAGTATGGATGAGAATTACAGAAAGACTTTCCTAGCCAGATAACAAGGGACACTAAGCCACATAGTGGGGTAGGGCCTATAAAAAATAATCCAAGAAAATTGTAGGGCTAGAAAAGACAAGCAATGATACCAAGGGCTTACTTTAGGGGTATAGGACTGAACAAGTGGAATTAGAGGCCCAAGACCAGGTGAGGGGAGGCCTGGGTCCCAGCCCTTCGTTAGCAAATCCCTCATTTAGGGAAGTTGCCACGCAGGAATGGTGCACAGGGGGCTTTAACATGTAAACTTGAGTCTGCTAGATGAGTTTTGTTTTGAAGACTATATTCTAGATTAAGTGAGCAAGAGACAGAGAGAGAGGAAAGTGGTACTGGCATAATGGGGGAAGGGCAAGGGGAAGGGGAAGTGGAAAATAGAATGAGGATTCACCAGTAGTCAATTCCTTTAATGTCCAGGATCTTCTTGGTGCACATTATGTCATCAGTGAGGTCATCATCCAGGAACTCTGGCAGGAGTTTCAGGGAAAGAATTAGAAAGCTAAGAAGTATTATGCATAAAGGTAATTAGGTAATGAGTTCCCCTATTCTCTGGACCCAAGGGGTCTGGTTCTTCTCTCAACTCAAAGTCTGTTGTCTTTCTGTATGTAAAGACGAATACGGTAAAGTCTCCCCCTGGGTCTTAGCTTGGTCTTAGCCCAGGGACTGCCTTCACTTCCCTGGTACATCTTTGGAGGAATCATCTGCATCCAAAAATGCAGAGTATTGGACTTCAAGACTCCCAGACAGCTCAAATAGTTTACCCCTGAATTTCAGAGCACAGTCTGGGGATTTGGTGATCACAAAAAATCTAAACAGCTTCTTACTCAGCACTGTCAATTCGAGTCCCACAATTTTTGTGGAGTCCAATCAAGGCAGTGAACCAAGACATGTGCTTGACACCAAAAAGGAGATTATCCCAGGGGCAGGCTCCAGAAAACCAGAGAAATCGGATTATCGAAGCTACTCACTGTCACAGGAGATGCCACAGATGTCCCTTGACTCAGGGATCTGGTCGCTTCTACACCAGTGCTTATTACTGATCTGGAAGAGTCCATATTCTGTGCTTCCATCATTTTCGACTATGGCTTGTGTGTCATAAGCACTGGCATGAAATAGAGTACATATCACTGAAGGAAAGATGAAAAAGAGATATCCAGGATCAGCATAATTGAGGAGCAGAAAAATGCTTTCTATCCAATCTCCAAAGATAGCAAAGCACAGGGTATCTCGATGAAATAGGAAGCAGAATTCCAAAAAAGATCAGACAATAGGAGAAAGGAAGGACAGCAGAATAAATGGAATAAAAGAGAACATATATAAGCAAAGAAGATAAGAAATTGATAATTAAGTGAAAGTGGAGGAGAGAAAGGGAAGAAAAGGAGGATAGAGGAAAGAAGCAAATGAGGAATGGGAAGAAACAAGGGAGCGGGGAACTTACATTCAGGCAAAGTGAAATCTCTATAGCCATTCATGTCCTTCAGGAGATGGAACATCTCACACTTCGTGAACTGAACAGCCTGTATGGCAGGGAACAGGATGGCCACTAGGAGCAAAGGGACAAAGGACATCATTTTGGCTGCCCCCAAGAACATGGAATGGGGGCACCACTCAGCTTCACCTCCTTTTATTCATGCAGAAAGCCTCAGAGGCCCTGGCCCTATATCCAGGAAGTGGGTGAAGAGAGACTGGTGATGCCAAGACAGAAACACTGAGCCTGCCAGCTTCCTTCCTAATTCACCCTGCTTTTCCTTCCCCTCCCCCAATTGTTCTCTACCCAGAAAGAGTTCTAAGCATGATCCTGTTTCCCATTTGGCTTTGTTTACCCCTTTGTTTCTTATAGGGTTGGTTCTAGGAAGCAAGGTGTCCCCAGCTACTTTAGGAACAAAGGAGGCCTCAGGGGCAATACAAATAAGGCAATCAGAAAATACAATAAGGGTCCATGGCCAATTCCCCCTTTTCCCCTAGAAAGGGAAATACAGAACGTAGAAAGGGAGTGTATCACCTGCCTTGGCCCCAGGATCAGAGCTAGCACTTGTCCAGCCAACCCAGCCATGGAACAAAGCCCAGAAAGAATCCCTTGATATGGTGGTTCGTGGCCGAGGGCTCAGAGATGGGGATAGAATATGGAAATGTAGACTATGAGAATCAAATATAACATGATCCCTAGACTTCCTACTTCAGGAAAATGGGCAATTCGAAAAGCCTGTATGAAAGTATCTAGCTGTCCTATGACCTATTATCAGGTTCCCCACCCCCAACCACCCCTACCATCAATAACCAGATACTGCAGTAGAATTAAGACATTGTGTAAATCCAAGACCAAGTACATAATTTGTACTACATCTGTTCATTAGTAGAGGAACTTGTAGACAGCCTCACTGTTTGCCACAGAAAGTTATAAAGAGGGTGACCTAAGCCAGTGGGAAGACTGGACTTAAAGCACTTTAAGATTGAACAAGCAGTATCTGAAGCTTATAAAACAAGCTTCCTGCTCTGAGCTGTAAGGTCAGTGAGTTGAGGGTATTAGTTCTGAATAATTCCTTTAATTTTCTGGCATCAAGCTTCATGTTATGGTGCCAGTACCTGTTAGCTCCTTCATGCCAGGGCTCATCCTCTTTATTCCAATATCTAAACCTGATTTCTTACATTTCAGGGGGTATTTATCCCAATCAAACTATTTAAGACTTACAAACTGAAGATCTTCCATATTGTTATCTCATATATGCCTTCTGACTTGGGGGAAATTCTTCTTAGTTTAATCTGTCTTCTATACCATGGGTAACCAGTATATGAAGGGGCACAGGTGAAATTAGTGTGGAGGATCTTGGTGTGCCAAGAGGGATGAGCAGAAAGTCCTGATAGCAGAGAGATACATATTCAGAAATACAGCAAATTGCTGCCACTGCATTTCTCCTTATTCCACCCGGAGGCATCGGAAGGGCACACAACAGGAATAGGAATTCTATCACACTAAGCAAGTTTTGTTAAGAATATGGCTGGGAGTGAGAGGATGACCTTGGACCATGTGGGAGAGAGACCAATAAGAAAAGCCCGTCCTGTGGACTAGCCTTTCCAGCAGTGGAGTCTTGCGTAAAATGCCTCCTGCCCTGGGTATGGACTAAGTACCTACAATAGAGTAAAATGGCCAGGCCAGAGTCTCAGAAATCACAGGGGCTTCCTACACTTGCAGCCAACTCAAGACCTAAGGCAGCAGCCTGCTTGCCTATAATTTGATTGTACGTCTACCCTTCCCTGTATGCAGTGAAAATCAGCACACAGGTCAGGAATCATAACTAAGCACAGAAAAAAAAAAGCGGACATGCCTCAGGCAAGCGGAACCATTATTTCCCTAGAAATATTTGTAAAATAGGGTATCTGGGGTCATCTGAAAAGGAGAAGAGAAGATGTCTAATGGGAACAATTGCAAACATTCGGAGAAAGATGTAGCGTCTTGGAGATGGTCCAAAGGAGAACAGTGAGCCATCATTACAGCACTGAAAGAGGAAGCATATGGAAGACACAACAAAGCTAAGGGAGAAAAGCTTGAGATTTATTTAGGAAACTCTGCGTGGAGGCCGAGATCTGAATCAAAATGGTGAAGATGCATTTACAACACACTTCCCTGGATTTTTTTCAGAAATATACCAGAAAGTTATGTTCATTCCCTCAGATGTTGTGGTAAAAATCATGGTTTCTAAAACCAGGAATCATCTTTTTGGAGGACTTTTAAAAGTCAAAGAATCAAAAGCTTCTCTTTCAAAGCACATTTGCCATCTGAAACTGTAGTTTGTCGATGAGTGGTAGTTCACAGACAGAGCCTACAGCTACCTTTCCAAGGGAACACCCTGAGGGCCACAGTAATATTGATTATTTCTTACAGTTAATATCCCCACCTTGTTCTACTTCCTCCCATAATTGAGGAAAATTATCAGTATGTAGAAAATGAAGCTAGATCTTGGACTTGAAGCCTAAATTTCACACAAATGTTTAATTGAATTTGAGAGTTAATTAAAGCAATTAAGATTTGGAGAAGGAGTGATTTCAATTGGCACTTTTCTTTTTTTTTTTTTTTTTTTTCGAAACAGAGTTTCTGTTGCCCTGGCTAGAGAGAGTGCCATGGTGTTAGCCTAGCTCACAGCAACCTCAAACTCCTAGGCTCAAGCAATCCTTCTGCCTCAGCCTCCAGAGTAGCTGGGACTACAGGCATGCGCCACCATGCCCGGCTAATTTTTTCTATGTATTTTTAGTTGTCCAGATAATTTCTTTCTATTTTTTTAGTAGAGACAGGGTCTTGCTGTTGCTCAGGCTGGTCTCAAACTCCTGAGCTCAAACAATCCACCCGCCTAGGCCTCCCAGAGTGCTAGGATTACAGGCGTGAGCCACCGCGCCCGGCCGGCATTTTTCTTTTTTAGTTGTTTGTACAAAAGTCCATGCAAAGTCACTTAGCACTATGGATCCACATTCTATACCACACCAAAAGCCTGCTTTCAATTAATATGGGATTATTTTGAATTGCATTTGGATTTTCTACATATTTGTATAACTGCTTTTATGCTTAAATGAACCATTGATTCATTTTTGTGAATTGGTAATAGTATCAACAAAAAAAGTACATATGCAAATGTAAATTATAACACAAAAATTATTTTAAAATATATTAATTAAAATGAATTTTACCTTTTTAACTGAATATTAGCTAAAACAAACTGATACACGTGTAATTACCAAAAAGGAAATAAAATTTCTGTCATATCTTAATAGATTTTTTCATTCTTAATTTATAAAATGTTTATTTTTAAATAAATATATCTTTATATAATTTTCCATCACCATCTTTAATAGAATCTTACATCCTATTTTTTGTTAATGTGGTACTTTTTCATTTCCTTTTTGGGTTGGCTTCCCTCTCCCCCTCCTCATTTCTTCCCTGCGTCACATCATGCTGTTAATTCATATTAACAATCTACCATATATTTTTATTAATTATTGTATTTTTATATATATGGTTTTGCTATTCATTTAAAATTTTTTAATCCATCTGCAATTCTATCTGAGTTCCTTCTTCTTTTTAACTTGTCATATTTGTCTATTCTAACACAAAAACCTTATGGAGTTCATTGCAGTGGCTTTTTGGATGTTCTGATATCTATTAATAATATGACAAGTCTTACTTGTTTTTCTTTTTTCTTTTTAGAAAAATAAACTTTTTATTTTCAAAATAAAGATGGCTGACTAGAGACATCACTTGCCCGACCATCCCGGAGAGAAGGAAGGGTTTTGGATAGGGGAGACAGGAGACAGGGTGCAGCACAGGTGAATTTCAATGAGAAGTGCCAGAGCCTGCTGGGGCTTCACGGAGGAAAGTTGGGAAGCAGAGAGGAAGAGATAAAGGAAAAAAGATATCAGCAAGGACCAAATCCAGGGAGGTTCAGCGCACAGAGAAGGGATAAGGGGAGATCCCTTTCTCCCTCTCACAATCCTTCGGTGATCAGCAGGCTACCAAGTTACTGGGAAGCTTTTCTACCCCAACAAACCCATGCACTGCAGCAACCACAGAATTGTAGAGAGAACTTGAGTGATCCCAGAGCTCAGACATTCCAAGTGGGGTTCCCCTCCAAGGAGAGTGACCCAAGAGGCCAGAGAGCAGACTTTCTTCCATTCAGACTCTTATCTCTCCCTGCCTCTCCCCCACCCACCGCAACCAAGAGAGTAGTTTCAGCTGATAAGTGGCCTCCTCCCCTCAGCTGGCGCATCCTGCAGTCTGAAGTTTACACAGAGACTGGGGCCCATGCCTCTCTCCTTGGGGACCTGCAGGGGACCCAGGGAACTCGATCTGGGATCTCCCTACCTGCCAGCATTTTGTGGATACACACACCAGCGGATCAGACACGCTGGCCAGCTCTTGTGCCCCCAGGACTTGAGTGGGTCGCAGAGGGACACAAGGGTGGGGACGGGGGGAGATTAGGAGCTGAACTTGGGAGGCGAGGGAACCCATATGGGCAGAACTGATGGGAGAAAACTGCGGGGGTCTGAGACAAGGCAAACAGGGGAAGCGCCCATCTCCCCCGCAGAAAAGCCACACTGTTAGCAACCGCAGGTCCTCCGGTGGGGGCGATCCCAGCCAGAGAGGCCATAGCAACAAAGTGCTACACATTCAGGGCCCTACGGCAGCGGCAAGTAAGAGGGGTGGAGCTCACTCCCCACAGCCAGTCTAAGAGGTGTAGCCCCTCCCTCACAAGCAGTCTTTTGGGCTTAGAGAGCCGGCCTCAGCCCTCCTCTCAGTGGCTCCCCCTAGCAGCCAGAAAGATGACCTCTGAGCCCTGCTGAGGCTTTGCAAAGCCTTCCAGACTCACACAACCTAACCACATCCACCCTTGCCTCTCCACACCCATCTACTGCGGTAGGGTCCAAGCAACCCCCTGGGAACTACAGGGCCCTTCCCAAATCCTGGGGCATTCAAGCGCTCCACGTGATGGACTAAAGCTTATTGCAGGCACGAAAGAACATCTCTGCAGTCTGCTCTCTCCTGCAAGCATCAACCACTGACAGGGAAAACAACTCTATAGCTCAT